GTTGATGGGACTTAGGAAAGTGAACAATAGAGCTTTCTGGGAAAAGCAGAGTAAATCAAGAAAGTCTATGACTTCCGCACATTCTGAAGGGATTGTGGTTTACATAAATTTTCTCCCAATTGGAGATTGAGCTCTTCCTCATCTTACACATGGGATTTAGTTGTCACTCAATGGTAACAGCTGTGAAAAGGTGAAGCGGCCCACCGCTCAGAATATTGCCTTCGCTTTTAAAGCAATTAACCCATGAACAGGAGGATACCTGGTGATATCAAAGGGATTAGGCCAGCCGGTGCATTATTAACATTTCCTTGAACTAATTCTAACTCTGACTAGCTGTCAGAAAAGACTCTACAGTCTTAAAAAAAAGAGTTTTGCCCTGCTTTTTTCCCTTCAAAATGAAGTACTGCTATTTGAGCTTAATATGTCTCTCTACTTATAAGAAAATGCAAATGAACCAAGCTTTTAATATGCTTAACTAGTCGGAGTCAATGCAGTTTTAATACAAGCATGAGAGAAATATATGATCAATTAACCAGGGATCAAGAGAGATATTCCCTTGAATGGAAATTAATGCTCCAGTACTTTCCATTCTTCTTCAACCACAAAAACTTGGTGACTATTTGTTACTTATGCATAGTTACCTCCAAAATTAGGAAGAGCTGCACATTATTCTCTATGGCAGTAATCTAAAATACTCTTTGAGCTGGAAAATCCAAATATCTCTTAAGCAGGAGGTTCTACATTCTCTGAGGTATGGCATTCTAATTTTCTACTTTTTGTTAAATGGAATATTAGCTCATAACTCTAAGAATAGCAGACAGTGCTCAGAATCTAGTGTCCATTTTCCTAAAGTCAAATCAAATTGATTTTTTGCAGAAGCAAAATATTTAGAGATAAACTTATAGAAAACAAAATTTTCCATAAATAAAATACTGACACAAAATAATCTGCCAGAAAATATTTAAATATTGCAAAAATTGATTAAAAGTTCTCTGCGGTAAGCAGAGTGCTTCACAGATCTTTAATTATTCTAAGTTCTAAGTACCCTACTTGACATTAGGGATCTCACCTCTGATCATACAATGCTAGTGGGATCTGGAGGCTTTTGGTTCAAGTTTCCTAAAGCAGTACTTTAAAATAAAAGCAAACCTGAAAAACTATTCAATGTTCAGTGACTTTGTCTTACTTTTTTTAAAACAACTTCTAAATTTTGACTAAAAGTAAAACGATTTTACTGATGTTAAAAATTTAAATAGTTCAATTATAAAGCCTTTAGCTCTTTCACCTGAAAGCACAATAAATTTGTTGAATAATTTCTTTTATAGTTCCGCATAGTTTCATATTAGTGTGAAAGGATAGGCTGACTATGAAGCCTATTGAGAACACATTCCTTTCCTGGAACTACCAAAATAATTGATACAAGATATGCCCTCATCTGAGATCATAAGCAATTTAAGTCTTCCCCAAGGTAAAAAAAATTATACAATGCTATCAACATCCTCAATCATTCTCTTTTAGTGCCACCAGAACATATGAAATGTTAGCCTGGCGACATTTAATGATAGTGATTTTAGAGTCCTTCCTTATTCTGTTTGTAAGACTTAGTTCAGTGTTTCTCAGAAAATTTGAAATTCAAGTTCTAAGGAATACTAAATCATATTCATGTTAGTAACTTATTACCAATAGCTTCTTTATTTTCTATTAGTTGAATTTGTGAATTTCAAATGATACTTTAAATATCAATGCTTAAATTTAAAAAATCATTTCCTTCAATGACCTTAAAAGAGAAAATTCCAATTCATCTAAGTCACTAATAGTATTACACAGTCTTAAGTACATAGGTATTAACATTAATAAAATGCATGCTACTTTATATAAACAAAATGTATTAGATTAGACTCCCTTAACATAACGCATGCTTAAAAATGTCCCTTAAGGGGACAATACATAAATAAAATGTATAGAGAAATGACCACCCCAATATTACTATTTTTAATTCAATAAACTACAGTGACACATACAGCTTTCAATGTGTTATACTCAAATGCTTTCTACATTAAGGCAAGGCAAATACAAATGCGTTCTTGCCAGCCATTAGGAAAGATTGACAAAAAATGCAGTGTTAATGACATCTTACAGCTTTTAAAAGCGAGAGAAAGATGCAAGAAAAGCAAAAATTACAGAGTAATTGGAAACAACGAATAAATTGTTCTTTCACTCTAAGTCATGTTTACTGAAAAAAAATGGAGCTTTTTACATCAACACATTTAAACAGAAATTTGCTTTTGAAATACAATCTTTGTTTAAAAGGTACAGAAGGTCTTTATGTCCACCCCAAGAGCTAAATATAGTGAATGCTATGTGAACAATTACCTGAAAAAAATCTAAACCTGTTACAAGAATTAATTTACTGCACACCAGTCATCACTAATCCTACATGTACAGTAATGTTCTCGTAAGTGATGGGAGGAAAAAGAAGAAAACTGTTTCCTGGATCAGAACCCTTCAATAGTCAACAACAAAACAAAATTATTTGGTCTGTAAATGATTAAAGTAGTGAAATGTCTCCTAAACAAATTTTGATAAAGGAGTCAACTTGTAAAGGTTTTACTGTATGCTAGGACTGGAAAAAAGCTGTCACTGTAATGGCTATACAAGAACTGTGTCCTGCTGTTGAGTTTATATTCACAGAAGAAAGGTTTTAAAGGTTAAGTTCAGGTCATACAACAAATGAAATTGTAACAAGCCAGCTGACATTGTATAATGTCTTCTTCCATTCGATCAATAGGCTACTGTTAGTCCTATTACCATAGAGATGGCTTGCTCTTTCCTGAAGGGTGTCTATTGTTTGACAAAACAGATTTGCCACTTGAACTAGGTTGTTCCCAAAGGACATGTACCTTGTCAATTATTTGTATTGAAAATAATGAAGTATTTTTCATATTAAAATACATGTAAGAGATAATATTGTTAGATATCTTTTCTTAAAGAAAGCAATTTTTTCCAAAGTCCTGTATTGCTAAAACCACTCAAATATTCACATTAGTATTATAAGAATTTAATTTAAAATTGTCATCAACTATACAAACTTATTGTTAATTTGTATAGACTTTATGAAAAGAAAGTCTCCATATGAACTGGTGTACTAATCTGAAAACCTAAAGAATCAAGTACAATAATAGGGCAACTCAAAATTATTGCCCAAAGCTATTTAGATTGTATAAAAATAAAGATTTTTAATATATGTTTTTATAGCGGTTTGCACATAAAAAGGCACCAATAATAAAGGTACTGAGAAACATGGAAAAGTGTTAGGAAACGTGACTTAAGAGCCATTTATATCTGCATGCCATTTAAGTCTATGTAAACAGTATAGCCATTTAAATCTATGTAAACTGTATAGAAATGACCCTTGAAAATTGAGATAAACCATTAAATGATAAATATTAGTTGAAATGACTGAATTAGTTAAAAATTAGAAAAAATGTTTATCTTAGAATGTCTTGAGTAAACCAGTAATTCATATATTCAGTACAGAAAAAGAATGTTCTAAATTTTAACCTAGATATTTTAAAATAAAAATGTATTATTTTCCCACAATAAAAATGGGAGTCATTTATAAAAGGTACAATTCTTATAAAAATCATTCTAATCACTGTGAAAAAATAAAATATAACACTAAACAATTCAAGTTGAGAAGGATTTTTTAAAACATTTCACTCCTGGGGCTTGGAGCAATAGCACAGCAGGTAGTATGTTTGCCTTGCATGTGGCCAACCCGAGTTCGATTCCCAGCATCGCATATGGTTCCCTGAGCACCGCCAAGAGTAATTTCTAAGTGCCGAGCCAGGAGTAACCCATGTGCATCGCCAGGTGTGACCCAAAAAGCTAAAAAAAAAAAAAACACCCCCCCAAAAAAAAACAAAAACATTTCATCTGACCATGTCAGACTGGAATAGAAACAAATAATATAGAGAAACATTTAATAAGTGATAATATAATATTTCAATCTTAAAACTTTCTACTAACAGGTTTACAAGATTTGTAATTACATTAACTTTTATCTTTCAATAACTCAGAAAATTTAGAAAGGAGCCAACTAAAAAGCGGTATTATGACAAATGCAAATAAAGCATCTGTCTTCAAAAAAGACATCGGAAGCTGTTCAAATTATACTATGTTTCCATGTAAGAATGCCTGCATTTATAATAGAATGAGCACTGGTCTTTGAAAGAAGTATTTGAATTATTTTTTCACCATTAAATTTTTATTTTTCAGTACAATTCTCCTAATCATAAGCTAGACTCACTTAAAAATGGAGGCAATAATATCACAGAAAAATGACTTCACCAGTATCATAAACTAATGACCTGGTTTTTAAAAATAATACAGCCTTCCAAATTAGGAAAGCATTCTTAAATGAAGTTAGTGGGCACTAATTTGCCTATCTCCCCTTCAGCAATATAGGAACAAATTGAAACCTTAAATAAATCTTATCCCAAATTGACTTTTCTTAATAGCCTCATTTTAAAAGTATACACCATGTGCATATTTAGAACATGATTGGAACTTGTTCTGGATCTGTTATGCACCCACCTATCATCAATACTGCTGAGTAATTAAGTGTTATTTACCATCTAGCAAAAGCTGAACCTCATATTGTTGAATGAAACTGACCCATCTGCATCTTCATAAAATGACAAAGCTCTTTAGTTCTGCCTAAACAGAGAACTGTGATAATGAATAGGTGACAACTTTGTCTCCATAGTATAAATAAAACCAATTGTGTAATCATTTGAGGGGTCAAATGCATATAGAATCACTATAAGTTAAGAAAGTGAAATCACACAACTGGTCAAGAAAGCTGTTCAGAAAACCAGTTTTTGTTCTTGTTTGTTAATGTATGTGCTTGTCCGATATGAAGGCTTCATTTCCAGTTAGTCAAAAATACTTTTATTTAAAAAGAAAAAAAAAGAATTTCAACCAATTAATTACTTTACCTGACAACAGTGGAAAAAAGTAATGATGCAGCTACTGCTCCAAACAAGCCACAGAGAAGATTAACTCGATAGGCAATTGAGCCAAAAGGAAAGAGTAGAGTCGCCAGTTTAGCCACCAGAGTGAACAAGGGGTAACCAGGAGGATGGGCAACCTATGGGAAAATTAAGCAAGTTAGAAGAAGGTTTTCGTCTAGCACAGGAAGAGTCCCACTGGCTTTAAGTGAAGAGCAGCCCTTTTGGTGGCAGGTATGAAGACTTAAGTGCATGAGCTGTATGTAGTTTTCCATTGTAATCCTCTTGTCCCAATACAAATAAAATATTTTCTTTAGTGGATTTGGCAGCATCTATCACATGGTATGTCACCTCAAGAAGGGGTGACACATTTCATTGTCAGTTCTCTAAGCAATTTGTTCTCTGGGTTCACAGTACATTAGGGTCATTTAAAAAAACTATTGAAAAAGAAGCAGGTCCTGATCTATCGTATTGGTTAGAAAGTTAAAAGACCACACTGCTACAGGATTACCGCCACACTGACAGTCCTAACGTCTTGCCTAAAAGGGATCATGCACCATAATAAAGTTTATTAAATAATAAACTTATTAAAATTGTTAACCCGATTTATTTTATTCTCCACAGCTTATACAAAATTTGGGGTAATAAGCCAGCTACTGTATATATAGTAAAGGCTTTGCTTTATAATTTAGTTTAATTGGATTTAAAACTTAAAGTAAATTGTCACGTACTGTACTTATAAGTTACTAAAAACTGGGGTTTGAAAATAAATTAATCTACTTTACTCCATGCTTAATTAAACTTTCTTAATTCCTAAAACTGTTAATGAGAGCATTGATTAAACAATAAAACTAATACTTACTCCAAGCTCATGTGCGGCTGTGATCAGTTCCCCTGTGAAAAAATAATGTAAAACCAATAATTACTATTAGGAAATGACACTCCTCCAAAGTTTTCAAAATCCAAATGCTTGCACTGGGGTTTTGCATTAATTTGACTGGATAAAACTGCAAATCTGTAGAGATTTAACAGCATGAAATAGAGCAAGAATATTTTCTCCCTTAAGTCTTAATGAACAAATTATCTTTGATAGTTTTTAATAACTGGTCAGTAAAAACACAGCTGATTCCAATTTTTTTTTAAAGTTATTTTCCTTCCTGAAAACTGTACACACTTGAACTTATGTGACTGCTAATAAAACATTAATGCAAAATGCCATAATATCACTTAGGTAGCAGTGCACTGTAGCACTGTCCTCCTGTAGTTCACCGATTTGCTCGAGTGGGCACCAGTAACGTCTCATAACGAATTGTGAGACTTGTTACTGTTTTTAGCATATTGAATATGTCATGGGTAGCTTGCCAGGTTTTGTCATGTGGGCGAGATACTCTCGGTAGTATTGCGGAGCTCTCCGAGAGGGGTGGGGGAATTGAACCCGGGTTGGCCATGTCAGCCACGTGCAAGGCAAACACCTTACTCGCTGTGCTATCGCTCCAGCCCACTGCTTAGGTATTAGGTACAAATCTACAAAGATGCAACCATACGGAGACAGAGATGACTAGATGGACTAGGTGTGTTCTCTGCATGCAGGCTTAGGCTTGATCGCCAGCTCTACGTATGATCTCTCAAGCACCACTGGGTGAGACTCAAAACAAATAAGCAATCTCCTTGAGATATAAAAGGTAAAGCAGCTGAGGTTTGAACACTCCATAAAGTATGACATTCCATCATTCCAAATTAACATTTGGGTTAATTGAAAATACCGGAAATTGAAAATATTTTTCAAATGTGTATTAACTTCAAGTAATTTTTGTAAACTCTACCATATACCACATATTTTCAAACCACAAAATTAATAATTACATACTAATAGATCATTGTCATTACTGGCAATTTTCAAGATTTATAAAATAAGTATATTTGCAAAATGCTGATTTTGATTTTGTTTTTTAAATACTCAGAAGTAAAAACTATTTCTGGCTTGTCTCTGTTCATAATAGAGGGATGATTAAAAAAATTATTAATGATTTATGAAAGTTTAATATTACCTATTGGAAATACACTATTTTCTATCTTTCAATCTATATCAAAACACTCTGCTTTTAATGTCTACAGCTGCAGGCACAACTCAGACCTTTATCCCCTCAAACTGGGCTATAGCAATAGCTTTGACCAAACTTTTCCTTCAACTAAACTTCATGCTGACATCACTCCTTACTGCCACCACGGCATTACTCAGGACGAATGGATTATCCCTTTGTTTATGATTCCTCAGTGGCTGCCCTTATTTGCTCGAGCGGGCCCAGTAACGTCTCCATTGGAGACTTTGTTGTTACTGTGTCTGGCATATCGAATACTCTCGGTAGCTTGCCAGGCTCTCCGAGAGGGGCGGAGGAATCGAACTCGGGTTGGCCATGTTGGCCGCTTGTAAGGCGAACGTCCTACCCGCTGTGCTATCGCTCCAGCCCGCCCTTATTTAGTGAATGAAATTCAAATTCCTCAGAACGACATACAGGGCCCTCTACAACTTAAGGTGACTTTGCAATGAAAACCATGAAAACTATGCTCCCGGCCAAATCATATCACCCTGTACTCCCTGCGAAGGGTCCCGTTGGGCACCTTCAGCATTCTTCAAGATCACCTAGATTCTTCGAAATCTAGTTGGCTTGTCACCTTCTCAGTGACACCTTTCCATTCAGCCTTCTTTCTCCTTTTCCTTTGAGTCTATCTATTTAACACTTACAACAATGGACTGTCTTATATTCTTCATGTTTTTTTATACTAAGTTGAGAATCTGTTCCCAAACCATTTCAGGATCAGTGTATCATCTATCCATCTGATCACACACAAAGGATGGAAGGCAGGCCCTGTACATAGAGGTTGACCAATAGAGGTTGATCACAGTATCATCCCTGCTCCTCAGATTCCCTACTTAAGTGTGAAGGGCTGCTAGCTTTACAGAAACCCAACTAGGGCAGGCAGTACTCACTGAAGTCAATTTAGTACTCAAGGGCATCTCAGAAAACAGTTCCTTTTTGAATCTTATAAGCCTTTTAAAATTGTTTATGATCTAAAAATATTTAAAACAGTCTACAACCAAAGATATTTTATAATTTCACTCAGTATGCTATCTATATCTTCAGTTCCAGTTTTGCTTTGGGGGGGGGAGGCACAACAGCTGTGCTCAGGGTTTACTACTGGATCTGAGCTCAGGGATCACTCTTGGAGGGCTTGGAGGGAGCCTTTTGGAGTGTCAGGGATACGACTTGGGCCAGTTGCAAGCAAGACAAGTACCTTACCCCGCTGGACTGTCCCTGGGCCCCTCAGTCCTAGTTTTAATGTTTTTCATCCTTATCTGTAAGTGCCAAAAAACATGGTAATACTAAATTTCAAGGTCACTGTTTCCTCTCCATCTAAATTTACTTAAAACTATGTTTAACATTAAGAAAACCACCCTTTAGGGGCTGCAGTGATAGTACAGCGGGTAGGGTATTTGCCTTGCATACGGCTGACCTGGGTTCGATTCCCAGCATCTCATATGGCTCCCCGAGCACCACAGGAGTAATTCCTGAGTGCATGAGCCAGCAGTAACCCCTGTGCATCACCAGGTGTGACCCAAAAAGAAAAAAAAAAAAAAAAAAAAAAAGAAAACTTTATACCTTTTACAAACCTTATACCATAAAAAAATGAATAGTTATTCTTTGCTAGAGCTGTTATAGAGATAAACCTGGAATGTAATTAAGAATTAAGTTCCATCAACTTTTATCAAGTATTAAATTTTAAATGGAAAAGATAACTTTTAAAATAAAGTATTCTTAACAAAGAGCTAAAGGGTGATACTCTTAATGCTGGTAATAAAGTGAATAATTTTTTGAGCAATTTTTAAAAAATAACTAAAGTGTATTCTGGGTTTCCCCTTATTTTCACAGTAGGTTTTTCCTCATCTATGTCTGACTGCGTCAAAATTCCTGAGTGCTTTTTAAAAATGATGCCCTGACCACACACCAAACCCACTTAAACTATGAATTTATGGTCTTGGGGCACAAGTTTCCCAGGTGATTCTGAAATATATTCAAATCTGAAAGTCATGGTTTTTGTCTTGGATACACAAGCTCAGAGTTGATAGCAGAAGCTTAACTTCTACAAAACCCAGGTCTCTGGATCTACTTTATATTATAGAATATTGCCATATAACAAATCTATTGAAGGCAATATCCTTAAAATATATGGATACTTACATAGCATAATTTATTCCTCCCTCCCAGAAGATCTATTAGAAAGGAAAGCCTCTCTTATAAAGGACTTCTGTCCACAAATCAACTGAGTATCAAACTGTGTGGATATTAATTTTGGCAGTTACACCACAAGGTGATACATATTTAGCGAGTATAATTTGAGATATATCGGGAAAAAAACACATGCTTTGCATTGGTTTTGAGATATTTTTTCATTTATTGATGAAAAATATTTTTTGTAACAATACATTTGATATAACATCGGTGTCAAAGGTTAGACACATTTTACTCGCAACACTTGTAAAGATTAATTTTTTATTCCCCAAAATACACATTAAAATAATAGAAGCAACCACTCTATAGTGTTAAACTTAAATTAGGACAAAGTTTTGTAACTCAAAGTGAAGATCAGCTTTATTGGGAAAAAGGAGTAGACAGCATTAATACAATCACAGGTTTCAAATAAGACATTAAATAACACTACAGATGGTTACAGTGGATTTAACAAAAAAATAAATAAAATTTGTGAAATTCTGAGTCTACTTGGTTTTATCCTTGACTGACCCTGCTTGTGGTTGTGGTTCTGTACACAATTAAACTTGTTTTGTCATCTATATAAGGCAGTGTAACAGGGGAGAGTGCAGAGGGCTTAGGTGTAAGCTTTGAATGCTTGGGTCCTAAGTTTGACATGAGTGCATGTGGCCTTGATGGCCTTCAGCACTATCTCCCTGGGGATTAACAAGGAGTGGCCTCCAAAACGTGGCTGGAAAAGAACCTCACCCCCCAAATGGGATGATACTGAGAGCTACTCTTCTGGCAGTTCAGGAGTATTAAGCCTCAGCCATACAAAGCACTCGGCAATAATCTGGCATCTAATAAGTGGAATGTCGGCTGTTATTCATCCCACCCCATATTTTAGGGTCAAACAACTATGGTAGCTTTCAATACTTTCCTTTTGCTTAGGGGGGGCATTGAACTAACCAACTACCAGTAATGCTCTTCATGAAGAACTTCTCCCAACTATCAAACTGTTCCTGTGATTTACTATAAACCTTGGAGACATGGAACTCCACTCCTTCCTAACCATGAACAAAACCCTGCCCCTGTGTCTTGTTCACTAGACCTGGGAGAACAAAGGTAAAGACTTGCAAATGTCTGCTTATAAGTGGATAGACATGGAGAGTATCATGCTAAGTGAAATGAGTCAGAGAGGGACAGACATAGAAGGACTGCACTCAATTGTGGAATATAAAATAACATGAGACTGACACCCAAGGACAGTAGACACAAGGGCCAGGAGGATTGCTCCATAGTTGGAAACCTGTCTCATGAATGGGGCAGCTGGAATAGAGAAGGGAACACTAAGTCAATGATGGTTGGAGGGATCGATCGTTATGGAAGATGTGTGAGGACAATAGATAAAGGACCAAACATAACCTCTCAGTATCTCTATTGCAAACCATAATGCCTAAAAGCAGAGAGAGAGCATGGGGGAAAATTGTCTGCCATGGAGACAAGGGAAGGGTTGGATGGGGGGATGCTGGGGTAGGGGGGGATATTGCTGGTGGAGAATATGCACTGGTGGAGGGATGGTTGCTTGATCATTGTGTGACTGTAACTGAAACATGAAAGCTTGTTAAGTGTATCTCAAGGTGATTCAATAAATTAAAAAAAAAAAAAAAAGACTTGCAAATGTCAAGGCTCCTCAGCCTGGCAGGCAGCCCTGAGGAAGGCCCCTTCACCTCCAACTCCCTGCATTCTGCATAATCCTCTCGTCCCTGCATGTGGGCTGGTCTTACAAACTTCCATAAGCGAAATAGAACCTGGGATACCACCCCCAAGATTAGGTCATAAAATGACAGAGGTGTCAGAGTGAGGTGCTAGCTCATTCTCTTGACAGAAGTCAGTTTACTGAGAGAGCCGCATGGCAAAGAACTAGATTAAGCGGAGACGCAAATCCTTCCCACGTGGAGCCTGGGGAAGAACTTAGCCGCTGCCCACAACAAGACAAGGACCCAGACCCGGGCAGGAACCTCCAACTCCGCCGCCCCTCTCTACCCTATGAAGAGGAAATGTAAGCAAAGGCTCCTGGTTTCACGCCACTAAAATAAACTTGGGGCTCTATGGGCAGGCAGCAAAGGGTTAACTAGGGCCCTCCACTTCTTTCCTTTTACAGGCTCTCTACTGCATGCCCCCCCCCGCCCCCACCCCCGGACAGGTGCATCCTGACCATGGCCAATTACCGTCCCCTATCAGGCATGGACAATCACTGAACCTGACAGCCAAACCGAATGCAAAACCTGGATTTTTCTCGTCCCAGAGAGGTAACTAATTAAGCCCTGTGGTTGAAACGGCCGTGAGTGAGCCTTGCCCCTTTCGTGTCGGTTTGAAATAGAAGCACTTTGCTTGAAGCCGCAAAGGGCTTTCTTTGAAGTGCCCCCCCTCCCACCCCCACCCCAGTGTGAACCTTCTCAAGGTTCAGGTTTCAAGTACAAGAACACCTCGGCGGCCGGTCCGGCTGAGCCACTATGCAGGTGGCACTTGCCCCTCTCCCGGGCCGGTGTCTTAGTTCCCCTCTGCATCACCTTCTGCCCACTGCACGGGTACCAGCCGCCTGGGAACCCTCTACAGGTGCGCGCTCCTGCCACCACGAGCACAGCCAGGGCTCAAGAAAGTGAAGCCTGTGCACGCCGGCCGCCCGCTTCCATTCTCCCACACCCCCCCAAAAACGGCCCGCAAACAAAACTTCAAAGCCAGGCAAATGTCACGGGATTAAAAGTCTCCATCAGGTGAAACCCACCAGCCGCGCCTGGACACCGTGAGAAGAACCCAGGTCCGGGGAGAATGGGAAGCGGGGAACCCCTCCACCCCCATACCCCGTGAGCCGGCCCGGAGAGCAAGGAGGGGCAGGGAAGACCACCCTGAGAGTACTTTACCCGAGTCTCCCCCCGGCACCGAGGGGGGCAGCGTGAGGGTGAACACCGCGGCCACCGCGGCGAACACGGCGACGCCGCCCCGCAGGGCCCCCGAGCGGGGCCGCCACTCCTTCGGGGATGCCCGCCCCCCGGGCCGCGTCCCTGCCGTCGCCATGGTGACCCATGGGCCGGTGGGGACCGAGGAAGGAGAGCCCTGCCGGCCCAAGGGCTCGGTTCGCACAGAGCTCCCGGGGCCACCGGCGAGCCCCGGGCCGCGCGGCCACCGCATTGGCTTCCGGTCCGGGCGCCGCAGGCTGGGCCGCACCTTCCTCGGTCCGAGCGAGGGGGGAAGGTGAGACGCGGGTCACAGAGGAACCCTCCCCCCAGCCCTGCGAGACTTCTTGGAGCGCATCACGCGTGGGCGCCCACGGTCCTCCAAGAAAAGACGTAAACGCCTTCCAGTCGCTCGAGACGCGGGCGAACCTTCTCTAAAACCGCAAGCCGTTTCGGTGGTGTCTCCCCCCCCCGCCGTGGCGCTGACTTGGTTGGGTCCGACAGAGACCGCCGCGAGGCTGGGAAGCGGGAGCGAGGGAGAGCCGCGTCCGCCCCCTGCGGCGCGGGGTGGAACTACACGAACTGCCCAAAGCCAGGCAAGCAGGCAGTGCGTGCACCCATCTCGATCTCGACATTCATCGCATGTGGGTCAGTGTAAGTCCGTCTGTTGATGATTCGATCCGTTGGGTAAGCTTTAAATTTTACTGTTAAAGATTATTATTTTTTTGTGTTGAGGGGGGCCCACACAAGATGGTGCTCAGGACTTACTCCTGGTTCTGGGTTCAGGGATCACTCTTAGCGGTGCTCAGGAAGCCATATGTGGGTCATATGCATGGCATATAGGGCCTACTCCTGTCAATTCATAGTTACCATTTGCCCACCTCTAGCACACAGCAGAGGGTAACACCACCCCCAACCCCAACCCCAGCACTTCCAGGTAAGACTAAAAAACTTAAAAATAAATTTTATATGCATCATCCTACCTAACCCTGGTTCCGCATATGATCCCCCAAATAGATTAGGTGAGACTTCTGAGCACAGATCCAGAAGTAGCTCTGAGCATCTCAGGGTGTGGTTCATCTCTCCTATCCCCCAAATAAATTGCAAAGAGGCAGAGAGATGGCTTAGATGGCTTAAAGGGCTGGAGCACAGACTGTGCATGCAGGAGTCCCGGGTCTGATCCCTGGAATTGCATGGGGTCGAGGAGGAAGGAAGTCCGAGCACCTTGTATATGACCCCAAAATCAAAATAAGAAACAAACGAAATTCTCATAAAAATGAGAAAAATTTACTCACTGAACTGGGAAACTTGAACTTCTATTTTAATACAAATTACTCATCTTTGATAATGGTGTCTTCTACTTGAATAAAAAAAAGTATTTTGGTGGAGCTTTGGCCACAAAGCGGTAAATAAAATGACTACAATTTACTTCCCAAAAGCTGCAGTGCAAAAATATAATAGGACTCCTGGTCATCCACACTGCAGGCTTTTAGTACAATTCTGAAGCTTATATTTTACATTATGATTGCAATTATTGTTGAGGGACACTGGAAGAGGGCAACCTCAGTGGAATGCAGCTCAATTATACTGAAGACTAGAGGAGACCATCTGAAACATGTTAGAAACGATTGATTCACCAGGAACACTGTGTCCCTACCATAGAGTAATTGACATGCACTCAGGTTGATTGACAGTCATTGTGTCAACAATGCTTTCTAGGCCACCCTTGTGTGTTCCTGCGGGCAGATGCTCAAAAACAGCTGCCCATAGTCTCTGAGTTTAATACTCACTCCTACATGATCACTTAACCTTGGTGTGAGGGTTAGACTCAGGGATGTCGTCACTATCAGTATCAAACAAGACATGGATATCACTTACAAGGTTAGGTTATTTAAAAAAAAACAATTGTTAACCAACAATAATCCATATAAAAATATCTCTGATATAGCTTACACTGATATTTTAAAAGTGTGATGGTCAGGGAGCAACAAAGGGCTACAGGCGACAGAACTGGAGAGTTGGTCCATAAAAGTGAGCTTTAGGGTGGAGGTGAGACATGGGAGGGGCCTGAAAGGGAGGGGTCTTTAGGAACCTCAGTGGAGGAAAGTGGATCCTTTGGAGGCAGGTGTGTTGGAATGATGTATATAGGAACCATTCATTAACAGTACTGCAAAACACATCTCAATGAACCATTCATTAACAGTACTGCAAAACACATCTCAATGAAGATTTTTAAGAAGCATGTGAAAATGAAATAAATGTAAAAGACTGACTAATTTAGTGTTCTCTCTCTCTCTCTCTCTCTCTCTCTCTCTCTCTCTCTTTCTCTCTCCAACTTGTTTCTTTGGTGAAGCCATCTACATTGTCAAGAGGTCTACAGAGAGGTTCACATAAGTCACTGCCATCCAGCCGTCAGCAAGGATCAGTGACCTCAGTCTAGCAAGCTGCCATGCACTGGTATACTGGAATTGCCCAGGACCTTTCCCCACTAGGGTCTTGTTCTGCCTCTAATTCTTGTGGCTTGTGGGAGATACTGACACAGATGACAAATTTATGTCTTAGGAAAACTGGGAAGTTATGAATGCTGTTTCAGTCTGCTAAATTTTTGGTAATAATGAATTTTTAAATTATACTGTCTCCCATTTCTTGGATGAAGGAGCATGCCAATGAGTAATACTGACTGAATCAAGTATACATTTGAATTTTTGGTGGGGGGGTCACACCCAGCAATATACAAGGGTTGCTCCTGGCTCATCCACTCAGGAATTACTCCTGGCGGTGCTCAGGGGACCATATGGGATGCTGGGAATTGAACCCGGGTTGGCCACGTGCAAGGCAAATGCCCTACCTGCTGTACAATCGCTCCAGCCCCTGCACTTGTTTTTCATTTTTTGTTTTGTTTTTATTCCTGGGGCTGGAGAGACAATAAAGGGGTTCAGGTACTTGCTTGCACACAGTTGACTCAAATCTGATTGCTGGCACTGTATATTACATGTTGAGCACTGCCAGGACTGATCCCTGAGCTTAGAGCCAGGAGTAAACCTCTTCTCCCCAAAAATCTCTCAATCTCTCTCTCAAATCCACTTATTCTTTTGCTATTGAACTTAAAAAATAAATCTGGGAATCAGGAAGATGGCTCAGTGGGCTGGGGAACTGCTTTACACACTAGAGCCAGAGTTCTGATCCCTCCAAGCTCCTCCGGAGGTGATTCCAAAATAAAACCACAAATTTTTATTCTGGAATATTACTTTCAAAAGGGCATAATTCTTTGCCCATGTCTTGGTGTATAGATAAGTAGTGGAGCATGAATTTGGGTGTTGGGTGAATGGATGAATGAATTAGTTAAAAGGGGAGAGGGAGGGAGGAAGGTAGGGAAGGAGAGAGAGAGAGAGAGAGAGAGAGAGGAGAGAGAAAGTATCTGGTATATGTAAGACACATGCACTACCACTGAGCTATAATCCCTTGTCCTTGACTTTGTCTGTCTTATTTCCATTATATACTTGTAACTACAATGCTGACAGGTACAAATATTATTAAATTGTACTTAACAAATATTTTGCTTAACAAACATTTCTTTCCAATTTTAATGTATGTGCTGCCGAAGCGAGCACAAACAAACATTTCTTAACAAATATTGAGTTTAGTGAAAATTAACAATAATAAATTTCTGTATCTGTTAGGGCTTTCATTTCGCTACTGTAGCCAATACCTTGCTATGGTAGCTTAACCATGCAAAAGCTAATTCTTTCATGTAGAGCAGGTCTGAGTGAACTCAGACCCACCTGGTTTGGCAACTCCTTGAAATCATTATACATAGAACTGATCTCCTTTTATCTCTTTTTTGCCCAAACCATTTTACATTACCAAGATAATTTGCTCTCCAAAATGACTCCAACTGCTCCAAAACCTTATATCTTTATTTGAGAAAGAACAAGAAAAGATAAGGGCAATCCATTTAGAGAATATTCTGGAAATATTATTTTATGATTATACTCTAAACCTCACTATCACTGTATCACTGTATCATCCCATTGTTCATCGATTTGCTTGAGCGGGTGGCAGTAATGTCTCCATTCACCCCAGCCCTGAGATTTCAGCAGTCTTTCCTTACTCGTCCTTCGCAACGGTGCCGTATTGGAGGCTCTTTCAGAGTCAGGGGAATGAGACCCATTATTGTTACTATTTTGGGTGTATCGAATACGTTATGGGTAGCTTGCCAGGGTCTGCAGTGCGTGCAGGATATTCTCAGTAGCTTGCCAGCTCTCCGAGAGGGATGGAGAACATATATAAGAGAATACAAGCAAGTATGTTAAAACCAAACACATGTGTGCTGCTTTAGGTATATCAGTGGGCTAGACTATAAGTGGTCGTGCAGCCAAGAATGCAGCCACGCACTTCTGGAGCTTTGTTTTATAATCTCTGGATCTTGGCCTTGGATGGGATTACATGGCATGGGGGCAGAATTGGGGGGGGGAGTTTGTGGGTGTGACTGCCAAGCTACTGGAAAATGGGGGATCTGGGTGGAGGAGGCCCAGTACCGATCCGAGCAGGCTTGGACATCTCAGCCCCGGGTCCCGCATACCTGCGTTCCTCTTCTGGTTCCTTCATGCGTGAGGTTCATCTGAGCATGTGAAGAGTAGCCTTGAGCATGGCTGTGACTGTAGTAGTCACAGTTGTAGTCACAACCTCAGTAGTCAAAAACTAATAGGCCGCCCCTGTGGCAAAGAAAACTTAAGAAGTGTGTGTGTGTGTGTGTGTGTGTGTGTGTGTGTGTGTGTGTTTCTATCCAGATCTCCAGATTCTAATACAAAAGAAAAAGTTATGAATGGCTGGTAAAGGAGGTAACCAGCAGGTCCATCTAACATCAGATTTAGTGACGTGAAGGTAATTGAAACTAGCATTGTCTATAGCACTGTAGCACTGTCCTCCCGTTGTTCATCAATTTGCTCGAGCAGGCCCAGTAATGTCTCCATTGTGAGACTTGTTGTTACTGTGTTTGGCATATTGATTATGTCACAGTAGCTTGCCAGACTTTGACATGCAGGCGTGATACTCACGGTAGCTTGCCAGGCTCTCAGAGAGGGGTTGAAGAATTTAACCTGGCTCGGCCAGGCCAGCTGCTCTCAAGGCAAATGCACTACTGCTGTGCTATCGCTCCAGCCCTTAATGGAAACTATGAAGGTTCAAAATGTTAGTTTCAAGTAACAGTTGGCTAAAAACTGAGGAAACAGAAGGGAAAAATGAACACATTTGCATGCA